TCCACTGAAAGCCTGCAGGTTTTATTGACTGTACGAATCGCTGCACAAAAAAGTGCCGCAAGAACTGTGAGAAATGAGCTGCAGTCCATTTTTCTCGTCACAAAGTCAGTACCAGATGTAGTTAACAAACAAAACCAGTATACAAGATGGCTAACCCTTTCGTGGCAACATAAACATTGAGTGATGCGATCTCGTGTCCTGTCAGCAAACGCGCCCCAATTTGAAGCGGTCCTAAAGTGATCGCCCTCATCTTCAAGGTAAGATACTTCCGAGACGACGATTTGAGCGGTATCGATTTCTGAACTTCCGATAGTTCTTGCTCGGATCTTTTTTTGGATATTTGTTTCGATACAAATCTGAGCAAATTTTATGTGTCTACTTTCCAACAAGCACTGATGGGTGCTTGTTCTGTGTTGCGAGACCAAGATTTATTCATGCGGATGACGATGGTTGTCCTTACACAAAGCACAAAGGCCTTTCTTTTCAGTTTATTTCTCTTAACATGAGTGAGAGGGACCTTTTCGTTGAAGTATGTGTGAATCATTCATGGGACAAGTTCCCCATCGTAAATCTTTTCTGTTCAAGGTTTTGCTGAACGTTACGTGGTATGCCTTTATGTTATGGAACATTTTATATGTTTGTTGCTCATTTTTAAATGTCTTGCAAACGCGCAGCTGTTCAAGCGTTGTCGTAGCGTCGTTGAATACTGTTGTCAAATTAAATGTCTGTACATTTGTGGCTTCCAGGTATGGCACAACTAACAGCCCGTACCGTTTTGTCAGCGCTTTCGAAGCGAACACTTATGCCTGCTGTTGTCTCACATCGTTCCTTGGCCACCGAGGCTTCACCTGAAGACTACGGTTATTATCCAGACCCTCTTGAGCACGCCACTGGTCGTGAGAAGAAAATGCTCCTGGCACGTCTCGCTGGAGATGATGTGAGTATTTTTGTGCATTCGTGTTTCATATTATTTGTCTCATTTCTTGGTTTTCTTCCGTTTCATTAACATAGGATAAGTTACAAGCGACGGTTTCCTAAATTTTGTAGGGTTATGGGCAAATGCGGAGGTGAGGGTTCACTTTATCTTTTTCCCCAAAACTTACTACTCTTGCAGCAACCATCGTATAGGGAACTGCAGCCGAATCCTCAATTAATAACCGAAACAGATTAGAAATGACGACTTTTTCGGTTGTGGTATGCAGGTTCGGGTATCTCTAAATCCCAATGGGGAGGATGAGAGCCCTAAGACAGTTTTCGAGGAAAAATCGGGGTGAGTGCGCCAGTCAGTGTGGCAAAAGTTTGAGCGTGTTAGATAACAGTAGTCATAAGTCGCTGTTTAAGGCGAGAGAGAACGCATGTGGAAGCATCAGATTGAGGCGGTTCAAGGCCTGGGGCCGGGGGCAGCAATCTCCAACGAGGGGATGGGGACACATCCTCTTTTCCCCAGGTTGGGGGTATGTCCCCAGCTTGGGGTATATCCCTCGCTGTGAGGGATTCATCCCCAAAGGTTGGTGGTTGTGTCTCAACCTGGGATATGGGGATGTGTCCCCAACCTTTGGGTACATCCGCATATCCCCAGGGCCTAATGCGAAAAGAGGGATGCGACCATGCGAAACTGTCACTGCCGTCGATTCTCCGCGTCGGCATCTGAGGGGACGAATCCCCTAGTCTCGACTAGGGGATATATCCCGTGGCCGGCAGAGACGCAAAGGATCGACGGCAGTGACTGTTTCGGCATGTCGCGTCATAGGACCCATCGGAAAATGATGGTCCTATGACGAAACCGGGATATATCCCCAACCTCAGGGGAGAGGGGATGGGTCCCCATCCCCTCGTTGGGGCCTGCTGCACCCCGCCCCTGGGTTCAAGTAGTCCGTAAGCGATAGATTAATTACTTCATTCATCAATTACCTCGTTTTATTGATTGCATTAGTGGATCAGCTTTCCATGTTTTCAGAAGACGGGTTTGGTGGGTCACCCCTCTTGCAGTGAGCCAGTGTAACAGCCACATACTGATGGTCCTAATTAACTCATTAATATTCAATTGATTGATTTTGCTGAATCTAAAAGCTCGGTAATTTTTCGATGGCTCCTTGAAAATGCGTGGCTGTAGTTGGCGCTCTTTTCTTTGTTTACCTTTCGAATTTAGCTGCTCGCTGCTTATATATTTTGTAGAATTAATTAGAGTTATGGACGGATGCTGTAAATGACTGCGACTGTAAATTTTTATTGGTATTCATATAATCTGTACCAATAGTATTTAATAAGCTAGCTAATGCTAGTTTTTTCTTTGAGCCTGAAAAGCTGTACGTTTTTTTTTATTTTCGTTGATTGCAAACATTAAGGCAGTTTCCTAAACTTGTTTTTCAGCGTTACGAACCTAAAGTATACTATCGTGCAGAAACGTCCACGAAAGAAAGGCCTAACTTGGTGCCATCCCATTTTCCAGACAGAATCGTTGGATGCATGTGTAAGTAGTGCACCTTATAAATTTTTCAAATTTGAGTAATTGTTAGTTTTGTAATTGAACAGTGACTCTGCTAATCTAGTGAAACGCGGGAAACGAGCAATGGCCGATGTCAGACTTTGCGATTGGAGCGATTTTGCACCAATTGCAGGAGCGACGGATCGCTCCAAAGTGCGAGCGACGGGAGATTTACCCCGCCGACGACCGATACACACGGCGCCGCTCGGGTAAATCTCCCGTCGCTCGCACTTTGGAGCGATCCGTCGCTCCTGCAATTGGTGCAAAATCGCTCCAATCGCAAAGTCTGACATCGGCCAATGAGCCAGTGTTTCAAGCGACAGGCCAGCGATTCGTGAATGCTGGAACGTGGCGAAGTTAACGCGCGAAGGGGAGGGACTCTGGCCACTTCTCAACACTAGATTCGCTAGTGCATCGTTCGATTCGCTGTCGCATCGCTTAAACCCCGTGAATCACTGAACTCGCAGTTGGACTCCGGCGTAGTAGCCAATCTGGAAATTTGCAAGAATAACTCCGTTTTTGCTCATTCTCTCAAACTACACCCGCCTTTGATTAGGTTGCTCTATACGTCGTTTTTTCAAATGGAAATTTCCATCTCAAATCCGATGTTTCTGTATACCTTTCGAGAGCGTTATACATCCTTCCTAAAAACAGTATCATAGGTACTTTTGAATGATCAATATATTTGAAATTATGGAACTCTAGAGAAAAAGTTCCATTTAACAAAGGACACACTTATGGGACTATTCAACCTTCTACTTCAGGAAGTTTATTAGCACGAAAAAAGGGATGTTACTTTTCAAAAATCTTTCTGTTATGATTCAGTAGTTCTTCCCTTTTTCATCTCACTAGGCAGGTGATGTCTTTGTTTGAAGCGCTGGAATCGACTGTCTTCCTGTTGTATTAGGTCCGACATTTATTTTGTTCATTTTTTAGGTGAGCCTGATTCTGGCCATGTGAACTTCATGATCATTCGCAAGGGAGTACCGAAGAGGTGTGAGTGTGGACATTGGTTCAAGGCTATTGATGCTGATCCAGAATCCGTCTAAGTAGATAATGTAGAGAACCAGATTTGTTTAGTATATCAATGAAGTTGTTTCTTCGGTTTTCCAGTGTTTTGAATTGCGCAGGTTGTCTTCCAGTCTATTTTTAATATTTTTAAACTCTTCACTGTCCTCTGTATACTCTCTATAAATCTTGATGATTCGAGTATGAAGGCGCTAAGATCATTGTCAGCGACAAGCGTTTCCTTGGATGTCATTTATCCCTCTTGATATTCAATACTAAATTATTGGGGCAGGAACATTATTGTAGTGTTTTTCTGTTATTTATATTGGACTGCAGCGATTTTTTCTCGAGGCTAACGTCTAAAATTGGTTCGGTAGTATTTACCACTGTAGTCCACTTGTTTTTGTCATAATCGTTTTACAGTCAAAATCGGTAGCCTCTTGAAAAAGTTGCTTCTCTAAGGGAAGGTTGCAAGACCAAATCATGGTAGTGCTTTTATGACCAGGAGAAGAGATCATAGGTAATTGCAAATTAACCAAACCAGGACAACCGTAGTGGCAAATGCATTTGATTGGCACATAATTTCTGAGACACTTTAGATGCTTTTCAATTTCATTGTTTTTTTTTATTTCTTCGATATATTTATTCGTCATAGTATAGATTATGAGCAAGATATCGCCAACGCGAGGGCAGATGTTCAATGCCTCTTTTACAAAATTCCATTGAGTTTTGATCGAGGAAAGGTTGGAATGTCGATTTTGACATCGTGGTGATTCAAGTGAGATTTCTTCTCCAGAAGGTGATTGAGAGAGGAGAGCGGATAGTCGTTCGTTGACGCAGGATTAGTGCTACAAGGCGGAGCTAAAAGAACTGACCGCCCGAGAGTCTCCAATTCTTGATGAGTTTTCTTCACAAGGTGCGTCGAATGACTTCAGAAAAGGAGCAGACTTTGCCTAACTTCGCCTTTAGTTTAGCGACGTCGCCATCGAGGTGTCGATTTTTGTCGTCACCACTGACTCTGGTACTAGTGGGTATTGGTTTCTAGCGCAAAGTCTCTGGTTTCTGTCAACAACCCAGTAGGATCAAATTTGGAGGAGATCGGGCTTTTGCTGTCAGAATTCCGAAATCGTGCAAAGAAGGCTACTACCGCTTGTTGACACTGCACCCAGTCTACGATAACCATGAAAATGCTGGATGGTCAATTGAGGGAGCTTTGAGGAACCAACAAAACCAAACGACGATATCAAAACGTGTTTGGAGCTGATTTAGGCTCAGAGCATGTGAAATACAAACTCCATATTTCCAGTTTATCAAGATGTCTCACTATCTTTTTTCCTTGCCACATCAGAAGCGTTCTAGCAAAACAGATAGTATGTCCAGATTCCTTTTCAACGGCGTCAGATAGAGCATCGTGATTGCCAGTCACAGGGTGGTTGGAGTGTGGGTCATTTTCAAATAAAAAAGTCAACGCTGAGCAGAGTGAACCACCGGTGCACCGTGGATTGAGGAGCGCCCTCAACTATCTTCTGGTTAATCCTCTATAGCTTGGCGCGTGGAAGATCCTAATCGGTAGTCATGAAGAAAGAGGCTCAGAAGTAGGTTTTGAAGAAATTGGAATTCTAGCTAAAGAAAGTAACAAGCAAACGAGGTGGCTAGCCTGTCAGGATAGGTAAGCTTGGTAATTGAGCGCAAGCTTGGTAATTGAGCGCGCAAGCATCTTGGAAAGCTTTAACACTTATCAGTTTGTTAATAGCATTACATATAAAGTGTCTCAAAAATTATGTG